AGGCCAGAAGTTAAACTCAGGTGTCATTTCTCAGATGATGCCCGCCTTATGTTTTGAGACAGACAATCTCCCATTGGCCTGGAGCTCACAGATTAGGCTAGAGTGCCTGACCAGCAAGCTTCAGAAATCCTCCTGCCTCTAAATCCCCAGAAGTGAGATTATAAGAACACATTACCACACCTAACTAAGGGTGCTGGTGATAAAACTCTGTTCTTCTTGTTTGCACAATATTTTACTGACGAAGCCATTAGCTCAGTCCTCCTTTGTCCACTTCTTCACAGTCACTGTCCATGGCATTCTGACACTGAGGCCTAGTGGACAGGTGACAGGAAGGGATCAACATACCGAATGCAGCAACCATTGCCATTCCAGCACAGAACAGGAGCTAAGAAACCATAAGTGCTTTTTTGTTTCTGAAGCATAAGGTGCCGGGCTGAATTGGAAATGAAGATTTTTCTTCTTGTTCAATGAGTGTATGTGTGAGTACATATACATGACGTATATGTGTGTATGGAGGGGGTACGTGTACAGAAATCAGAGGACAGCTCTGTTTCCACCTTTATGCACTTCTGGAAATTCAACTCAGGTAGACATTGTACCTTTACCAACTGAGTCATCTCTCTGGACAAAGAATTCTCAGTTTTTTGAGAGCAATGACAAACTTACTCTGTTTTTAAAATGATTGATTTTTTTTGATTATTTGCCTACATGTATGTATGTACATTACATGCATGCAGTGCCAGCAGAGGCCAGAAGAGGGAATCAGAACCCCCAGGAACTGGAGTTGCAGATGGTTGTGAGGTGCCTTGTGGGTATTGGGAACCAAACCCAGGTGTTCTGCAAGACCACCAAGTGCTGTTACCCACTGAGCCATATGTCCATCCCCTCAAACAAATTCTTAAAGATTCAAAATATAATAAAAAAAACAAAGTCTAACCTGACTGAAAAATTAAAATACTACTTTTTTCCTACAATGCATGACACAATGGGAACTCCAACGTATCAACACACAAATGGGAAACAGGCAGGTGCTCTGCACAGCCGCAGTACAAAACAATTCTGTTCTTTTTCTTTTCATCTTCCCTGCATTGTCTGTCTCTGGGACTTACAAATGAAATATACATTCAACTTCTTTCTATGCGAACCACTAACTGCGTCCTAGAAATACTGCAAAAATTCAAAACCTAGATTTCACAGTATTTTGGTGGTTTGCCTGCCCAAGACTCTTAATTGGTCCTATATTTAACAAGTGTTTATAGAGCACAAAAAATAGAAAACATTTGGGTGGAACAAGCATGAAGTAGTTCTTCCAATACTTAGAAACATTTTTTAAAATATAATTTCTTAGACAAAGAGTACCCTACAGGGTTGGTACTTCTTGCTGGTTGGTACTGGTCCTGGTTGCTCTGAGCAGAAGTGGCTATGATGGCAGGTGGGAAATAACAACCAGCTGCATAAAAACAGCATTCAAGAAGGTAGAGGCAGGGACAGGAAGGGTGGCTTAGTGGTGGACTGCCCTTGCAGAGGATCAGAGTTCGAGTCCTAGAACCCTTGTCAGGTGACTAGCAAAGACCTAGACCTCCACCTACAGGAATACACTTCTGTGAACACCTGCCCATGTGCACATACTCACACAAAGACACATACTTTAAAAGTATAATCTTTAAAAAAAAAAAAATGAAGGAAAAAAAAGGCAATGGCAAAAACCAAGAGGCTAGCAGCTAAGTGGGGAAATGCTCCCCAGCAGTTTTTGTGATGCTGATGCTATCAAAGGCAAATAGTCAAAGTTTAGGAGCATGAAGGGATCCAGACAGAACCCAAGTGAGTGCCCCACCGAGCCTGAAGATACTTCTTCTCATGAAGACAAGTCACAAGTATCATGGGCATATCCAGCCCATGGGAATGGACAGAGTTAGATACATAGTGATTTCCGTTTATCAAGTGCAACCAGTATGCCAAGAGAGACTCATGGAGTCAATACCAAACTCTTCATGATGTATTGCTAATCCTACTGCACAGGTAAGAATACTGTGACTGGAAAGGCTAAATTCATTGCTGCTATGCAACAATTAGGGAGAAGAGTGACTCAAAAGCAAATATTGTTGTCTCCTGTGAATTAGCTCTTAAAACACTGTTCTACTGTGGTGCATGAATATCATCAAGGGGAAGAGTTGAAACAACGGGGAGACAAAATACACAGCACAAACACATACGTTCTAAAATATCTGACCATGACCTACGGTAAATAACACTCTTTATATCCTGACCTAGCACATGCCTCGACTATATTATTATGATAAATAACTGAATACGTTTTTTTAAAGACATTACCCTAATGTGTGACACACAGCACCAGTATTTCAGGTGTGTATTTCTTTTCCTTCTTTTTTTCACGGTATTCTATTCCATTATATTTAAAATGCTGGTCAGGAATCCCCAAAATGATTTCATGGCCCAGTAGGACAACATCAAACATTTGAAAATTGGTGCCAGGGTCTGAGAAACAATTCAGCAGTTAGAAATGTACACTTTTCATTCAGAGGACCCAAGTTTGGTTATTGGCACCCACGTCAGGAAGCTTACAACTACCTATAACTCTAGCTCCAGGGGATCCAATACCTTATGGCCTCCACAAGCATCCACCACACACATGTGCACAGACACAAAAAGACAAATACACATACACATAAATTTAAAAAATCTTTTTAAAAAAGCTACTGTCGTCATAGCCAGGGACTTTTGACATAGGAAGAAGGTTAGTGTCTGAAATGTCTACATTTCATCATCTTCCACTGGAGTGTTCATCCAGGAAAAAGGAGAGAGGCAGTGAGGGAGAAAAAAATGGAGAGACTTGTCAATCATGTGTCCCCACTAGAAAGGGCAGAGGGAGGCCCTTCTTCACAACAGAGGTGGCAACGCAGCTGCTCAGAGAGACAGGTGCTGCATGAACATCTATCTGCCTTTGTAGAAGAAGGTCGGGATGCGGTTAGCATCCCTTTGCGTTGTCAAGGAGCACCAGCTGCAGAGACTGACTCCCAAGGAAGAGCAGTGCTTGCATGCAGTGTCTTTCAGCAAATTTGAAGACCGAAAAACAAAGCACAGATCGTCCACACAAAGTAAGCAGCGTGTCTCCTACAGGCAGCATGGCCAAAGCATGCATCGCTTTAACTTGAACTGACCATGAACTGGGGAGATGGCTCAGGGAGTAAAGTGCTTGGCTAGTAACCATGAGTACCTGAGTTGATCCACAAAGCCCATGTATGTAAAAAGTTAAGCATGGTGTGGGGTTGTAATGCCAGAGATGACAAGATGAGGTGGGAACAGAAGGGTCCCTGGAGCTTCGCCAGCTGGCCTGTCCTACTGGCAAAGTTCTGGGACAAGGAGAGACCTGTCTCAGAAAAAAACTGGAAGCTCCTTGAGAAATGACATTTGAGATTGTCCTCTGACCACTACCTGCACATAGACACGTGTGCACACACACACACAAGAATATGAGCGTGTGTGGGCACACATGGGTACACACAGAGGCTGAGAAGCACTCTGTAGCAGGATGAAAGGTTTCCATCCAACATACAAAACTGACACATAAGCCCTGAGTAGTGTTCAATGCAAACACATTAAAAGAAAGAGCTGGTTATGGTGGCTCACATCTGTAATCCCAATACATGGGAGACCCAGGCAGGAGGATTGCTGCAAATTCCAGGCTAGCCTGGTTTACAATGTGAGCGTGTTTAAAAAAATCAACAAAACCAGAAAACAATAACAGATAATAAATGTACTAAGTTGGAAAGAGACTCAACAAAAACTTTAGTTACCATGAGGATTTCTGGGATGGAAAGAAAAGGGGTTTCTGTAAGTAAGTAACTGATGCAATTTATCAATCTAGCTACAAAGCAATGTCAAATTTCAAAGCTGCCTAAAAGAAAACCACCTTTTTTTACATCAGCCTCTTAATATTCTGAAGGAACCTGTTCAAAACGCTTCAGCCGCGAAGTAACTTAGATGATAAATGTGTTCTTCAATCTGTGCACCAGTCAAGTAGCAATAAAATCAGAATAATTCATGCAAAAATTTTCATTATGTTTCTAAACATACTTATTTACATTTTAAATCACACATTAGACAATATGAAATATCTTTCATTTAGACAGGTGTGAACTAGAAAACAGATGCATTCATTAAACATGGAACAATTCGGCAAATTAAGGGGAAAAAAACTACATAGAGAACTCTCTCTGGTTGAAGAGCTTCAGCTACTGTTAACTTACTTGAAAAAATATGGCCATGGCTCCAATTATTCTGTCCTCAGAAATTGCCGTCTGAAAGCTGTCAAAGTCATCTGGATTGTAAAAGAAAATCTGCATCTGCAAGATAGTTAAAAATTGTATTAGGAAAAATTTCAAACCTATAGCAAAGTAGAAAAATTGTACAATAGGCCTGGATTCCCTACATACTAAGGCCACAATTGATTTATTTATCCATATTTTCTCTTGGCGAAAGCCTGGGAGAGAAAACCACACAGACCACACTAGCCATCCTTCAGAATGCACCACAGCTTCCTGTATGGATGCATCCGTGCTGCCCAGAATAAACACTACGGATGCCTCCTGATTCCCATCACCCAGCTCACAACGAAACTTTCCCATGAAGAAGTGAAGCCTGATTACAGTTAAGCCAGCTCAGGTAGATAACTGAGCCTGTGAGATGCAACTTGTGTGTTCAAATGATCAACACACAAACGGGAACACAAATAGTGACACATAACATAGAGAGAACTAATGACATTTAGAAGCCATATCCCAGGCTATTGTAGAACATACCTGAAGGGTGTTTCACAAAGAAATAAATACAGTGGTAATGATAATAATTGTGTTTCATGTTTTACTGGCTGCATAAAGCTATCCTGTACATTATGTCACTAAATATTGTTAAAAAGCCTCATCACAATGAGAATTAGAAGTGAGGACATGGTGGTCTAGAAAGTGGACATCAAGCTGCTTAAGACTGAACATCACAGGGAGGCCAAACACCAGGTGCTCCCACTCCAACCTTATATATCTCATCTTGTATTTAGCTAGAGATTCTTATTCAAAAAGGAAACATATAGATTTATCAACATAAATCACTGTACGATCTGAATACTTGAATGCACCTGATATTTCAAAAGACCTAGTACAAAAGCAGAGCATAGGAGCGTCCCCAAGGGGATGCCTACACGCCAAAGCAGACCTTGGTTCTTAGTCCCGCATCCTTGCCTATGAGTCTAGAGACCTTCAGGCAAGCTATGCTTTAAACAGCGTCTTCTGGGCATACGAAGTCAAGCGTTTCTGTTTGGTAGGGTGATTGTGAGGCTCAAAGACATGAGCACAGTGTTACAGCGCAGAGCTTAGACCCCAGCAATGCTCCATTCATATCATGATCACACATGTTAACACTGGCAGGCTTCTTAAAAACCCTAGTAAGAATGGGATTACCCTCAATCTCCCAGGGCAACCCTGCTCATTTGAGAAAATCAGATCACTGATGACAGACCTCTCTTTCTCTTGTTTTCCCTCTTTGCCAAATGGAATGCTGCAATCAGCTGTAATTGAAATCACAGTGGGAGCTTGGAGATTTGACACTGAACGATAAATTCCCAGCAGGCAAAGCAGAAGCACAGCGACTCAGTATAGGTCAAAGGTAAATGGAGTCTTCCTGACAGAATGAATCAAGATGCGAAGAACAAGTTGGTGATTCTTTTCTGAAGGGTGAAGATCAAGCGGACCACGTCAGATCACTTTCTAGGGAAATTCAGGGACCCACATGGATGGGAGAAAGAGACAGTTTCTTTTGGAAGGTCTTCTTTCTTAAATCAAATTCTTTTCCCCTAAGACTATGAGTTTTTATCAATGCTGACAGTTTCTTACAGATGTGTTACGTTTAGGTTTGGACAGCTTCAGACATCATGGATTTACACTGAGAAAAATCCATTCCACAAGGTGCAGATTAAAACAGTTTAATACTGGGTGAGCTGCTGCAGGTTCAATGTTACTAACCCAAGAAAAGGCTTCGCAAAAGTATAGCCATAAAATTATGTCTTAAAACCCAGACCCTCAAATCAAGTAGGTTCCAGAAGGTTTTCTTACACTTCAGATCATGAATAGGGGAGGCATCGTTTAATGTGTCACCTGAATAGTGTGTGATACAAAATACTTTAAGACTTCTTCAAGGACATCTTCACTTACAGCTAGGGAAGGAAATGCATTTTTGAAAAAGATGTTTGAGTCAAGGCTCCACCCACCTTGATAATAAAACGTCTCAAAGAGAACAGCAGCCCAGGTTGGAAATATCAATTTCCCTTGCTGTTTGTCTCAAGTTGTAGTCTATTGAATTATGTTAGGGGTTAAAGCTATCTAAAAACATAAAAGTAAACAAGGGGATCAAATTTTGTCTGAATGAACTGAACCCTCGCACTTTAACTGAAGAGAACAATTTGGATAGAGACAAGAAGACTTTTCTGCAAAGACATTTCTGAAAAATATATTTGGTTTGTCCAGTCATCTAGACTCTGTTTACCTTTGGTCTGTACTGAGTCCCTCTGACTGAGCTGTGACCACTGTGAATTTATTATCTCAATGCCAAATCCCGAAGTATCTTTTTGAAAACTTATTTATTTTTATATTGTGTTTGGCCTAAATGCAGGTAACTATACCCATCCATGCCCCCAGAGACAGGACGAGGGTGCCAGATCCTCTGGAACTGGAGTTACAGATGGTTGTTAGGCGCCATGTGAGAGCTGAAAACCAAACCAGATCCTTTGGAAAAGCAGCCAGCACTCTTATTCACCGAGTCATCTCTTTAGTTTCAAATCTCAGAGAATCTTGCATAGGCCATAAGACTTCTGCACTTATTCTCAAAAGCAATACCCAAGTCAGGTATGGTGCTGAATGCCTATAATCCTAGCATTTATATGGCTGAGATAGGCGGATTTGCATTCTAGGCCAGTTTGGAATGCACAGCAAGGCCCTGATTTAAACAACCACAAGGCATACCCAGAGACGACTTTGAATAAATCTAAGGATGTTTATTATATAGCAATTGCCTGCCAAAGACAGGTGTCACCAATAAGCTGATGAAAAGACCTGGGAAATCCAGTGATAAAGATGTCTACTAACTATCTCACTTACTCTTTACCCAGTTCCACCAATAACTTATACTATGTCCCATTTGTCCTCTTACTGTCTCTATGGAAACGCACATACACCACACACACACACACACACACACACACACAAACACACACATACCACACACACTCCTCAATCACTCGGGAATAAGTGGGGGATAATATGACTCATTACAACTGAATAGGCAAGTGTGCAATTTCTGGGATCAATCACTCGGGAATAAGTGAGGGATAATATGACTCATTACAACTGAATAGGCAAGTGTGCAATTTCTGGGAACACAGATATTCTCTTACACAATCATGGTATAATTATCACAATAAGGAAATTTCTCATTGATGTGATACGATTACCCAATTCTCAGTTCATTTTCAAATATAGTAAGTACCCAGTAAAAGCACATTACAGATCACTCTTCAGCCCTGAGTACAATCCAGGATTAAACTCTGTGCTTAGTTGTGATGTCTACACTGTCGGTTCCCACTGCTATCCAGAACAGCTCCAAGACAAATATGCAAACTGTAGTCTGTCTTCTCATGATTTCTCAAGGTTAGATTCAGGAAGCATATTGTGCATAGTTCATACATGACAGCACCATGTTTACCCAGTACATGGGGACAGGATGCATGTGGTGTGTATTTATCCCCAGTACTGGGATGTTTACCTTAGTCCCATGGCTAGGGTGAAATCTGACCTCTTTCTCCACTACAGAAGATTGTCATCTTCCTTTTGAAATGAACAAGTTCTCAGTAGAGAGATACTGTGAGAGGACACCCATAGCCTGTTCCTCGCCTGCCACCCACTAGTTTTGACATTTATTAATGATTTTCTTACTCCATTGTATTCATGAAAGAGATTCTCATAAGGAATATCATTCCCTTCTCCAAGATTCATTTCTTTGTTCATCTGTTTATGTGCAGAAGGACTCAACTTTGGTTTTAATATGTTTATTCCTAACATTATTACTTTGACGCTCAAAATGTCCCAGCTTAGCTCAGCAGGAGACCCTTGGAAAGGATTCCTGTCATTCTACAATGATCCCTGTTCCCATCATTTTCTCTTTCTTTTTTAGTACTTGCATCTTACCAGGCACAGATGTTCTGACCTCAACTTATGTTTTCCTGCCCCAGCCCTGGAAAAGGGCATTCTTTTAATGAGTCCTGGTTCCTTTCAGTGAGGAGAGTTATTTAAAGACTCAATAACCGTAACACAATTATTTCCCAAATGCACATAATTTCCCTCTCATTAAAATGACTCTAGGTGCAATTTGATTTAAAACATGTCTCTCTTCCAATTTATCTCATTGTGCACATTAAGTTGAATGAACAGAAAACAATCTGAAAGGAGAGGCTTCTTTAACATTACTGCTATTTTTCACACATTTGTTGACCACCTACTGTACGTCAAGTCTTATCACTCACGAACACTGCGAAGTAAACACCAGCATGAGTCTCACTGCACAGTCAAGAAAAGCAAAGATTTGTAAAATCTACAATTTCCAAAGTCTGTAAACCTCATGAAGAAGGAAAGAACATTTGATTAGAAAAATAATCCTTCCTAACTCAGAGTTCAAGGTCTTTATCACTGAACCTCCTTCCATCGAGAAGAATATTTGCTCAATGCCTCCTCTGTGTAAGGTACCATGACTGATGAGAACACTGTCAATGCTTAGGGAGACTAAAATGTCATTAATGAGATAAGGATAACTTTTTCCTTGAATGCCAAAGTTGAATAGATGTACTGAAAAAAAGGCTCAGGGAATGATCAGATCATGGAAAAGAGGGCACATTTTCTTGAAGGTGATCTTTTTATTCTCTGATGTCATACTTTTGTGCCTACACCCATGCCTAGGCGATGTGACAATGGAAATTAAGAAGAAATGATCCTACACAAGATAGAAAGACCCTAGATAGACTGTCTTCTCTACAATCAGAAAACTCTACATTGAGACGATTCCGTAGAAACCTGTATTTCCCTTATGCACATCTTACTCAAGGCAAGGAAAAAAAAAAACAACAATCACAAGGAAATAAAAGAGGAAACAGCATCGGACAGTTCAAAGGAAAGGTCAGAAAATGAGTGATCCTGCAGAGCACTGCAGGGGCGTGTTGGGAGGCTTTCACACAAGGGAAAAGACGCAGACAAAAGGGAAGGAAAGAACAGTTAGCGGGGCTCGAGACATGGTTAAGCAGGTAAGA